AATTGGCAAGAACATTCTGGCGTTTGACGGTGAGATTTCACACAAAAAAATCGTTGGCTGTCTGCGTTTGCCTCGGAGCCATCTCGACCAAGATGAAATGCCACTTCACAAAATCAAGGCCAGGCATGAAAGTGCAAAGAATTTTCATTTGAATAATTTTATGCATTTTTCTCGCCATTCTCATGTGAATTTCGATTGTGATCAGACGTTGACCATCAATTTGTTCGAAATATGTTGATATAATTTTTATGTCCCATTTAAAGAAACAGTCATCCATGCTATTTCAATCCATGTGTAATATCAGTTTCAGATTTTAAAGCCAGCTCGTAAAATTTTATATTTTGAATTTACACCAAGGCTTGATTTGAACCAATTTTAACCTACTAGCAATTTTCAAAAAGAGGTGTTGCAAAACGATTTTTTCTTCCATGGAATAGTTTGTCTTTACATGAAACAGACTCATTTATTGACCATTTTATAGATTTGCCAACCTCCGAATCGAGAACATAACATTTTTGTTGATTTCTTTATTTTTTATCGGTCGAACTTAGATCATCTAGATGCAAGCTTGCGCACTGGATTAGCTAATTGCAAAGAAATATAATTTTATGTTATGCATTATGAAATGTTGGAATTTGAAGAAAGAGTAAACACAAGTCAAGGGAGCAAATATTTCAATCATACTTTTCTAGTAGCTTTCAATATATTGCAAAATGTGTAATTTTAGAAAGTAATCGGTCGCTTAAAAAAACGAGACTTAAGAAGAAATAGGATTCGAATTGCTTTTTCCGAATAATATACATGAATAACATCATTTGTCCAATGATAAAAAAAACTTGTACTATATCACGACCGTTCGTGGAAAATTTATAGGCTATGAACGAAAAGCGCCTGTAAGTCGGCAATAGAAACGTAACGAACGATCACGATCAACATGTTCGACAAAACATAAAGTTACTCGTGCTGCGCTCTATGAGAATACATGCCGCAGCATAAACGAATTGTATCGAATAGCCTAGATTCGGGTGATATAACAAGAAAGAAACAAAAATCATATGAAATCAAACGGCTGAAATGTTTAATTGTAATCGATATAATGTAATTTTTATTAATTTTTCTCACATATTTCTTATGGCATTTCCATTAATTTTGTTAGTTCTTAATTTATTGTACAGTTTTCTCACTTGATTTTCCGTTGGAATAATTGCAATTAATTTGTTGTTTGGTTTTCGTTAAGTCGGTCTTATTCTGGTTTCAGATATCAGATTATTCACTGCATTTATGGTAGTTTAGTGTTAGTTGTTGTTCTGTATTTTTCTTCTTCTCGGTTGTTTTGATATACGCATAAAACACTATGTGAGTAGTAGTTATTTGTTTTTTTTTACTTGTTTATTACGTGTTTATGAATGGGGTAGTATTCATTTTGATGAATAATACGGCATTGAGCATATTACAATACATGTGCTCAAAACTGGTATTATTTTGAGTATTTTCTCTGTCATTGAATAATAATTGGTAATAATTTGGTTTAATTTGTAATTAGCTAAATTTCTCATTTTGACTACCATTTTCATTTATCAATGAACCAAAAGAAGAACAAAACGGCACACAAACCAGACGAATGCAGAAATGAAGAAGATGATGAGAAAAAAAATATAAATCGATCCTATGTTATATAGATTTATGATTTCGGGGGGATGAACAATTGTCAAAATAACACAAAATTAAGATCTGTCTGTACGCACTCCATAACACATTCGATAAAATCTTGTCAAATAGCTTACTTAATTATATTTATATATGTTTAAAACAATGCGGGCGTGGAACTCAATGTCGACGACAAGTGCATCTATCGGTTTTTTTTTGTTTGAATGTAAACATTTTTCGTGTGAACGCAACTCTTTCAAACCGATTGAGATTCATGTCAATAGGACCCATTAGAAATTACAATTTTACGAAACAAAAAAATCAGTTTCTCCTTTTGTTTATTCTTTAAATTATCGTAGACCGTTGATTTACTTTTTCTGGTGAATATATGTACAGTGTTTGTTTTTTCATCATTTTGTCTTTAACCATTATATTATAAAATTAAATTGTAAATCCTAATTTTAAGTTTTTGTTATTCATCTAGTTTCAAATCGCATACATTTTTTTTGTGTTTTTTTTTCTTCATCTTTTCTTGAATTTATTTTCTGTCTAATTCCTCAATAATTTTTTTCTTCATAATGTAATAAAATTGGTTATATCGGTAATTCTTTCGTTTTAATTTTGTTCTTATTCATCTTTTTACAGTGTACACATAGCAAAGTTTATTTTTTTTTTGGTTGAGTCTCTGTCAATAGAAAAAGGAATCGCATTACATTCGATTTGATGAGCTCCTGTGTGTGGTTATGTGTGTGTGTGTTTTTTAGTTTGCTTTATGAGATTCTTCTGATGAAATGTGTGGATGTCGATTAAACGAATAGCATCTAATACCTGATTTTGTTCTGTTTTTTTTTTCTGGTAATAAAATGTTGTAGCGACTTACTAAGCGCAGCCTAGTTATATAGGTTTTCGTTATGTTTGGAGGAGGCGAAGGAGGGCTACCACTGTAATGTTGAATAAAGCACTACGTGTTTCACTTTGTTTTAAAAATTTATTAAGAAAAGCAGAAGGAAATTTCACCATGTTTGCCAAGGAAATGAGGCCAAACCAATTTACGGTGTGCGGATTTGAGAGACTCAATATCTTCACATTTGGTCCCAACAATGGACTTTTTTCAAACGTTTTTTATTTCTTTTCTTCTCAAACAGACATGCTTCTCGTTTATTCAACCGCAATTTTCCACATATTTGATTAAGAAATGTTTTTTTTTTCGTTTGGGTTTTGGATAAAACAACGGAAAAAATTTACAAAAAGAAAAATTATGTCAAATAGAGTACAATCGTTTGTCATGAAAAATGTATGGAAACCATTGTTCTTTATACAATTTTAAAGCACCAATTTTACCAAAGCATTTTGAACGTATCGAAAAAGGAACATATATTCATTTTATTCTTCCATTTTGGAGTGTTTGTTTGATCGACGATAAATTTCTGTCATTTTTTCTTTTTGTTCATTTTGTCGGGAGAAAATAATCAACAAAATGATCGCATCATCAAAGATGTGTATGTGTGTGTGTGTGTCTTGTATCTGGGGAGTGCGTATTAAAATGTGAGGTTAAAAAGCGACTAAATGGTTTTTTAATATGTGGCTTTTGTTTCGATTTTTCGTTTTTCCTTTCGTTTTACTTACATCTCGGCCATTGTTTTCACTTGTGTTCTTTTTTCGATTTTTATTATCATTGATAAATGTTATTTTTTTGTTCATATGAATTGTTCGATCATTTTCTCTCGCTGGAAAAAAGAACTAATGTCTAGAGTTGTATCATAAGATGTGTATTTAGTATCTAAGCGATTTTGTTTATGTATAAATCTAAGTGTAGATTTTGGTTTTTTTTTCCTTTTTTTTGTTTTCTGCTATAGAATGTGTTGTTGAATAGCGTCGAATCATGCATTTCGTGCGATTCATTTTCCCTCACTCACCAAAGAAAAGAAAAGGGAAGAAAAAAAAGAAAAATTCGAACGACGTCGATCGCTGATATTGTTTGTTGGGTGTGTGCTTTCGTAAAAATTGTGATTTTAATTGAAACTGATAAAGGAATATTGGGCTTGTTTTTTATCTACGATGCAATTCCGTTATTCTCGTCATGTTGCCTGTATCCGTAGTATGGGATAGTTAGGACTATTCAGTTATTTTTCTCTTTTCAATTCGATGCTTTCTCCAAAGTATTTCCATTCTCGCTTGTTCCGATTTTAATAAAAATTGAGTGAGTGTTTGGTGAGTGGGATTTGTTGAGTGTGTGTGTGTATGTGTTAAAATTATTTATACGGCTAATGCAAAAATTCAATATTCATCATTTATTCTCTAATAAAAAAGGGGGGCTCGTTAGACTACGATAGGATGTGTGTATGTTGTGTGTTGCTTCGTCCCGAATATACATAACGCTCTACAAAGTAGACCGTGGAATATGTATTCGTTTTTGGTTGTTTTTTTTTTTTCTCTTTTGGTGTATCGGCGACAAAATTATAAAGACAAATTGAAATGCTCTTGATGTTTAGAATTTCGTTTGATTGATATTTTCGATATTCGATCGTTTGTTTTTTGTTTCAGTGCTGCTGCTGCTGCGGCTGTCGCTGCTACTGTGCTTCTATTTTGTGTTTCAAACATGTCGTCACAACGGGTCACTGAGATCTGCGGCCATTCCATCCATTCATCGGGATATAATCTTTCGGGTTTTGCCACTCGGTAAAGATGTATCTAACTCTGTGTTAATACTTGCGTATGCATTTTTCTTGCTCCTTTTTTCTGTGTGTGATTTATTTTAGTTATTTGCTTCATTTTCTATGTATGAAATTGAGCCGTTGAATAAAAACGGCCGCGTTTTTTTTATGTGATATTCCATTTTGGATTCTTTACCGGCACTTTTCGAATGCGCTCATTGTGTTTTTTTTTGTTCGTTTTTCCTCTAAATTTGTTTTGCTACTAGTAAAATGTACGAAATCAATTTGTTGGTTTTTTTTTTGGATTTGATAAAATTGTATATAATCGTTTAGTTGGATAAAGGTAAATAAATTCTTATGTCGATTTCTCTTCTTCTTTTTTCATTCTTGTTTCCATCGCATCTCACTTTAGGATCGTTGCAATTTTTGTTTGAAAATCAATTGCATAAAAATCAATTGTTAATCTAGAATTCATGCTGTATCTGCGATGAATTTATTTTCTGTTCATTTAAGAAACTTAGCACACTACATTGATTCAATCCAGCTTTCCGTTTTTTTGGGTTGCATGTGCTATGATTTCAATTTTATATCGTTTTGTGTTATTTCTGTTTATAACTATACAATTGCATGTTCAATATGATTGTTCCTTTATTGATCGTTATCTATTTCATATACAAAAGAAAAAGAAACCAGGGAAAATTCAAATGAAAATCGCATTTATCTTCACATCATTTTACATTTAATAGAGATTTGCTATGATTTAATTGTTAAATGTATTAAATTTATTAATTCTTTTTATTCCTTTTGCTCGGTTCATTTGTCTATTTATTATAATTTTCGTTAGAAAAATATATAGTAAAAAATAAAATAAGTAATGAGATCGACAACAACGAAATTGAAGCAATTAACAAAATACAAGGAGTGAATCTATTTTTGGATTTATCGCAATTGAATCTAAGAGCTTAACGTTTACCTACTTATTACACTGAATGAAAGAAATAAAAGCTGTTGTGTTTAAATGAACGGGTCGTTATGACATTCAATTGTGTTTTTTTCTCGTCAACGAAAAAGAAAATGCAAACCGAATACAATTCGCTAACGAATGCATTGCCAGTTGGAATTGCGAAGCGATGAGCTGACGTTTGGACGAATAATCGTCCACATCGTCAAAAAGAAAGTGATAATTCAAAATGCAGAACACAATTTGTGTTCAATGATGATTTTAAAAAAGAAACAAAAAATCCAATTGTTCCAATACCCGATTCGGCAGCAGTTCAGTGCTGATTTCTCAGTTTAACACGATTTCGTGCAAAATCTAAGCTGTAATTTTCTTCAATAAATTTGTTTATACAATAGTCAACAATTCTCGGTAATTTCATTGTTTGTTTCTTTAAATTAATTGGCAGTATTCCATGAGAGAGACTCTTGCTCTTCTCCTCCTCGTCCGGGATGAAAAGATGAGCATGGATTTTTTCTTTAGATTTTCTAGTATTTACAGAGCTGCTTTTCACTTTCTCTATTTCCGCATGCATTCATGAATCGCGCTCACTCGTCGTCATTATCGACCATTTCACAAACTGAACTACTAGAAGAATGATGATAAGAGTTCAATATCTTTACCATATGTATAAGTTATTGCTTTCTAAAATGTTTACTTTTTCTTCGTTCACATTTGGTTGCATTCCAAAATTTGACGTGTATCCCTTAATTAATGACTAACATTATGTATTGTGCCTAATTTTTACAGCATTTTTATATTCGTTTTTATTTATACAAATTTATGAATTCGTCTAAAAAAGTGGCGTTTGTTCCAACTGAAACGGAACTTTAAAAGAAAGACAAAATCGAATGCCAAAATTATTATTGTGAAAAGAAGAAAAAAACGATGAATCCGAATTGAGAGTTGCTTCCGGATTTGATTTGGTTAAACGTTATTTAAAATGTTTATGTACAGGAGCTCGGAGCGCACGCATTGCGTTTTGGGCAGTAGATCGTTTACCATTTCCTTGAAATATTGACATGTGTAAATTATTATCAAGTGAATCGCATCACTTCGATGTGTATTTCTCTTCTTTTTTTGTTTTGTTTTGCGTTCTTCTTTTATCGAATTTGAATAAATGTTGAATGTCGTTCAGTATTTTTGGTTTCTTTTTTTCTTTCATTTTGGATGTGTAGGAGTGGGAGTAGATTGCCTGTGATAACTCTTGCCGTTGGAATAATAATCATATTCGACTTCATGAACACATGTGAAAATTATCGTTTGTTGACTGTTTTGTTTTTTTTGTTGTTGTTGCTAAAGGCAAGAGATTAATATCCTTCTTATACATTTAATTTGGCAATTGAATTGCTGCCAACGTTTAATTTAATTCAACATGAGTTACTATCTCTTTCTCTCAGAGTGTGTGTTGTTCCATCGAACATGTCGAATATAACAAACACACACATTCGAGATGCCGTGTGTGACATTTAGACTATATAAACTTGTAGTGCTTTCGACAAATGGCTGATTCATTGTATTACGAATACTTATTCAATTGTCATGATGATTAAATACGACCACTTTTGACAATATATCTATAACTTAATGAAGTTTCATTGAACGATCAATGGATCGACATATCCGAACATATTCTTATCAACTAACGCTAGGCATTATCATTATTATTATTACACTAATCAAATAACTTAGAAACAATAAGTGTTTATCGAACTACGAATAAAAACGCTATTATTGTTCGCATGGTTGTGGTTGTTGTTTTTTTTCTTCTTTCTCTTGTTGTTTTTTGTTGTTGTTGGTATTAAAATTAATGAGTACGTTATCATTAATGCCAGTTATAATGTGTAATAGTATGCTTGTTTTGTATAGTTAGGTTAAGTAATTATCAGTAATGTTTGTTTACAGTAGACTTTTAGAGTATCAATAATGGTAGCTAAGGATGTGATAGCTGCAGCTGTTGCATTGCTTGCAATATTATTATTGCACACATTGCCCATGCCATTGGCATTTGGTGAGTTATTTTCCGTAAATGCCAATCATCCATACAAATATCAAGCATCTTGTATTTCGCCTTTCATCCCAGGAACATGATGATGCTGATGCTGACTTAAACGATTCGACAACTCTTGCATTATATCACGGAATATAACTGTATCTATGTTTTCGCCTAACATATACAATAAGAACCAATCGCCCATCTTCGAACGACGTACAATTATCTCTATGGCATCACGACGCACTAACCTGTTCATTTCAAAATGGAACGATATAAATGCAAATCGGCATTAGTAAATGATGTGTGCGAGTGTGCAATGAAGTAATATATATAATTTCAATGCAAGAGCAAATATGTGTGATTGATTTCACTTACCTAAACCTTAGACGTAGTAGATACACCCGCATTCTGGGCGAAAATATTATAACAACACGATAAATTAATGTTAGTGAAGTCAGTATGAATAGTAAGATGAACCAGAACCAAAGAAATATGTAGATTTTTTCATTGACTACATTCAGCGGCAGTATACAAATCGCATCATGTCGTTCCACCTGTCAAACACCAAAGACAACACCAGGCAAATACATTAGTCAATTTGTACAACTTGAATGTGGAATATTTCTTCGAGTTTAATTTAAATAGACTTTGTTTTTGTTTTCATCGAGTTCCAACAACACAAATACTCACTTCACCGCTGACACCGTATTTATAAAATGTACACTTGGTCATCCTTGGAAAGATGTATATCATTGGATCCATTCGATCCTCTTGATCCGCTTCCATGTGAGCAATGACATCCAAGCCAAATGTCATGAATTCGCCGTCGAAGAATTTATTCATTAAAAACATTTGAGCTGAAAATAGGAAGAACAGTTGTTTTCATTTGAAATTTGCTTCAATTATTTGTCATCGTTCTGAAATGCCAATTTAATTGAAAATTTATTTGCTAATTTTCATCATTTTCAATATCATCGGCGAAAACTAGGCAATGCATCAACAACAAAAACCGTACGACCGCGAACCAAACTAATCATAAAGTTATTATTATTAATATTCGTGCGCCAAAAATGAAAAATATCATCAAACCACCGCTAATTACACAAATTGAGACCATTGCATTGGCCTGAAATAAATCACGATTCGTGCGTGTATAGTGTTCGATAAACGAACTGAAACCATCATTTCGGCGAGAGAGAGAGAGAGAGAGAGAAGATGAATCCGAGCATAGTTGTGTTTATCGTCGAAACTAGGTTCGAAAATGATGTTTTGTTTATGGTGTTGAATTCTTCACCTAAAATTTTAACTCACAACTATGCGCTGCCTTGTTTTTTTTTCTTCTTTGTGCCAAAAGTCGTAAAGGAAATATTTTCGAAACCACATTTCAGTGGGCATGCTGTGGCGTTCCAACAATTTAATGCGATTGCTCGACCAAATCATGAGTTGGTTTCACTTCGTTTGCCGAAAATTGAGATTGCCGCAGATCAGTTTTATCGTGAGAGAGAAGAAAAAAAGTGATTTTTTTTTGTTCGAACTTACCCACTACATTCAGCAGCGCCAGTAGCTCGCATACGTAATATCGATATGCCCACCAATTGTGGTACCTAAAATTGTGAATAAGTATATTTTTTTAAAAATAAATAACATTCGAGATAAATGATTTACACAATTTTTGAAGAAAAGTTTCGTCGATAAGGAAAATTGGGCGTCGTGAGCTCACCTTAAATTGTCCCATAAGTAGTCTAACAGTAGCTTTTTCTTTTGTCTCTTTTCGATTTCGGAGCAGATGCCGATGTCGAGATCGAGCATTAGCGCGTGTATTTTTCCACCCTCCCATGATTTCCATAACCATCGCGGAGTATAAAACAATATCGCCTGTGGAAGACGGAAAAAAAGATCATCAATAAATCGTCGGACGTGTCAGAAAAAAAAATAATGTAAACATAATAAAAGCGGAACTTTTTTGTTACGATCTGTAACAAAAACATCATCAACTGGATCGTTTTAATCAACTGGTAATGTTGTTTTTGTTTGTCTTTTGAATGCGTTCGATTCAATAATGACCGTGACAGTTTACGTATAAAATCGATAAATGCATTTGAGTAAAAATCCTTCGAATTTTCCGAGGCTCAAAAGGCTTTAAATGATATGCAATGATTATTTAGTTTACGTGTTTTGTTCGGATAGATTTAACTGTTTGTTCACACAAAAATGTGATGCGCTAGAACATAAACATTGGATTCGTTTGATGATGAATGTTCACTTGTTTCGAAAAATTGATGCAATTCATTTGTTTATTCGAACGATAATGCATTACGATGTTTGTTTATTGTGTAGGAAAAAGAAATCAATCAATCGCTATTCAAAGTGCCGACACATGTTTGAATTATTGCTGACTTTGTTTGATAAATTAGTGAGAAATGTTTGAGGCTAAAAATAGCGTTGAATTTCAATTTGAAGAATAAGGCCAAATGTGATCGTCATTTAGAGGTGGATTTTACAAGAGAAACAAGAAAAACAACAGCAAGTTCGCTCAATTTCACTGTCATTCGCATGTGTCGATGCTAATTGACATGGGTAATGGGCACATCTTTCATTTTCACATTACAACTGTAATCTTTTTTTTTCATTCAAATTGTTTATTTACTGTCTCAATTATTTGACATTGTTTTCTTTATAAATAATTTAACCGCCAGTAAAAGTAACCGTCTGGAGTCGAGACAATTCCAATGAAATCGAATAAATTTGAACCAACACCATCTGTCAGAAGTTCCAACCGAAAGGCTATGTAAATTCATACAAAATAACACAAAGACGTGTCATTAAAATTGTATTTTTCCACATTTCATGAAATAGATGCGAATGCCACGGTCTTTGATCGATTCGACGAAATTTAACTTGTGCTACGAAGCCAAGTGTTAAGTAGCCATGGCATTTTTCATGGATGAAAATAGCATAAGAAATTCCCGTGCGACTATTTATGATAATTGTGAACGTTTGGTGTTGCGGTGATGAAAGTCGAAAACCATTAATAAGCGCTAAACGGTCATTCATTTATCGTCGCCAACCCATCATTTGGACTCTCTATGATATGATTTTCGAATAATAAAAAAAACGAAGTATTCACAGTCCTTTGGATCTTTTCAGCGTGATATTTAAAATGAAACCAGAAAAAGATTGGTCGATGAATGCGCGGAAAATTCGGTTGCATGAAATGGGCTGGGTTATGTTGTTTAATGTGAAAAACTGCTGATAAAAATAGTAAATACACGCGATGCGAGCTAGAGTGTTTGTCTGGCGACTGCATTATTTATGCCTGACAAAGTGAAACAAACTCGCAATCAAATGACGGACGATGCAAGTGCGATCAACAGCATTCCTTCTTCTCCTTTTTTTCTGTTGAAGAAGAAATTTGTGTCTCTATTTCGTCATTATAATGAATCTCTCTTTTTTTATTCGCCCGTGTTTATCATCCAAACGTAATTTTTTTCCTTTCACTAACGATGTTTTATAACGCTGAAGTGAGAAAGAAGAAAAAACAACAACGAATTAATTTGAGCCAAGATTTGTGTGATGAAATTCTATTTTTACGAGAACACACACTCTGGCCGATGAAAAGAAATATTGGCTACCTGCTCGACGCATTCGCGTGCATCTGTGTGTGTGTGAGCGTGTAATACGCCGAACGAGCACAAAGGAATTGTTTGAATCGTGTGTAATATTGTGACGTGTCACTCTCTCGCTGTGATATCGTTGTTCGCACACAATTTAATAAGTGACAATCGGAGTTTTTTTTCTGCTATTTTGTGTTTACCTCACATCATTGTCAAGCACATTGAAATGTATACAGCAAAAAATGGTTTGCATTGCGTTCACCCTAGCTGCATTTCATCTAACACTTGAAGTTTATATATTTGCCTGTCGTCACAAAACAATTTTGCAATCGATGCGCCGCATTTTAGATGTCATCGCCCATTTTCCAGTGTGATGAATAGCCTCATTAAAATCTAAAATCACTCATTAATCTTTAGCATGCCTCGGAATATTGCGTCAAACGAACTGGGCATCATCTGTCGCGTCACATCGAACAAGGTTCTTTGATTTCGATAGAGATCGTGATTTTTTCCGTATTTTTTTTTTCGCCTGAAATGTGTGAATTTCATGCCATTCGTCATTTTGATCGCACGATCTCCTAAATCCGATAATCAAATTAGAGACGATAATATCAATGATTAAGCCATCATGAAAAGCAACGGCTAACAAAATTTATACCGATTTCGTGTGCAAATCAGCAATATTCAAAACATGAATAGACGTTGCGACGCTTAACTCTCACTTTATATCTTTCGAATGACGTTGTTAAACTTGTCATCATTTTTCCCCATCTATTGTTTCTTCTCAAACGAATGAAAAAAAACGCGAAGAAAAGCCTGACTCTCAGCGGCCATCTCTCTAGCATGGCATGTTTTTTCGTAGTAACCTTGAGTTAAATTTAAATCAGAACAAATAAAACTGAATCAAGATTGAATGCTCGGTTTTTTCGATGAAAACACAATATGTCTCACAGTTCTAGTTGTGACAGAGACGGTGCTAAATTCAATGTAATTGCCAAAAATACATCGTTTCTTTTGTTTTTCGCCGTCGCCTCAGTATGCTCTCGCTCTCTCTCCGTGTGTTCATTTTACGAACTGAACTAATTGTACTTGACTTTTGGTGGTTTGCGTGGCCGCTTGTCGCGTTTGTTGGCCTTTCGAAACGAAATGGCACATTAACCAATGCGATTCGCTTTCTGTAGGAGTCGGACTCTTGCTGAATTTCATAATATTTTATGTGTAGAACAATGTGAATAAAAATGCCTTTTGTTCCACGTCGCGAAGACGACAGTTAAAGCTTCGTGCAAATCAAATTGGAAGATTTCAAAGTCACATTTACACGGTACACTAAATAAAACGGTGCTCATTTCGGTGCATCGGCATCGGTACAGCGACGAATAAATTCTTGTGTACACATTTATATACACAGACGCTGAGTGAGTATACAATTCATATTTGGCGTCAACAGGTAAATTTAGAAATGTGTAATAAGACGAGCAGCATCCTTTTTATGATGTTTTAACCTATTTCTCGGAATTGTTCTCTTAATCGGTGCTTTCAGGCATGTACAAAAAGAAAAAGAGAGAGAAAGAGAGAAAAGGAGATCGAGGGAGACAGAGAGCGTAGAGATGCTGGCGATCAAAAGTGGCTATTTCAACGATTCGCCCCTTAATGCATGAAGTGAACAAAGTGTTTTTTGTGTGTGTGTTGACGAAATATTCACAAAATTAAATTTTTATTTTGTTAAAAATAATCATTTTAACTCGAAAAATAAATGGTGTAAATGCGTGCGCTCTTCATCTACCTCCCTCTCTTGCTCTTTTCGTCTAAATGGCAACTTTTAATGCAGCACATAATTCATTCATTCACCCGAAACAATTTAATTGCATGTATCTGCACAATTTAAATGCAGTGGCAACATCTGTTTTAAGTAAATTTACCATGCATAACTGGATTTCTATTTTGTACTTTTTAACTACTCGATTTTGATATTAAGTGTAGGCTCTAAAATGTGCTCGTTCGTTTGCTTGCTCCTTGCCCGCCGCCGGACTGCACTTTGTATTCCTTTTCAATTACGAGTTGTTGTTGCCAATTTACATTTCTCTTGTTCGCGAGCTACTTTTGGCGATGGAAAATCGCAATTGCATGGGTATTATTATTTACGTGGTGCGAGAAAACGAAACAATGCGTTCAACGAAGTTCGTCGACTACAAGCAGTCTATTTTTGCATCTCGTGGTGATAACCAGACGATTTAAATCACTTGAAAATTGAAAGCAACACTTTTTGCATGCCTTTCATTCCCTTCTCGCTTTTGACTTTTGTTTCTTCCTTATGCGATTTTTCGCGTGATGGCGATTGCGCGCACCGTTTTTGCTGAATGCAACATTTAGTTAAACAAAATTTGCCGACAGCACACTTTATGTGTTCGCTAAACATTTTCATTTTCAAGCACGATGGAAAACACTGTATGCTGCGGTGTAAATCAACGAGCAATTATGCATTCTATTGGAAAATGTGTTCGAACACAACATTTTTTTCCACTGCAAAATTTTCTCCATACTCTGAAAAATGCCGGCTTTCGATCATATATCCAGAGCGTTGCCCGTGCTCTCACTCTCCTCTTGAATCGACCGAACTGCACATGAGTATGCAATCGCTTATGCTTATGCCCATATTTATGTCTGGAGTGTGTTGCAACGTTTCGTACCGTTTTGCTTGCAATGTAAACAAAATGATGGATAATCCAGTTATGGGATTGCGGATGGTTTTGTTATTTATTAGCTTCAGTCGAGAACAATCGCAAATACATTGAATATTATGTGCATGTTTGTACGGTACGTTTAATCCCATTATGAAAATACGGAGAATGGAGCTGTTTTTAGCGCGATGACACCGACCGATTATGACGTTGTATGTCCACTTTGGCTGAATCACTACGATGTGAACGTTGTGCGATTTTTTGTTCGAGATAATTTTTATTATGACATCAATGAAATAACGATCTGCATCATTCCTTTGAATCGAGTCGAGTCCGCAAGAAAACCGTTCTCGGCGGACGAAGGAGAGATAATACCGATCGAAATAAACGAAATTCTACTCAATGATTGCGCCAATCATTGCGTCAAACCGAACAAACAAGACATAATTCGCTCTTGCAATATTTTTCAGTTTTATTGGCACATTTTTGCGCTTTAATTGTTCGCATAAAACACAAGATTATTATCCTGTCGTTGTTTGTATTATAAACTTGTTTGTTTTTTATTTTACTTCGATGCTTGTTTGTA